TTCAATATAATAGTAGCGCATGCCGATTTCCATACAAAATGGTCAACTTTGATCATGTGTAACTTTATTCTCTTAAGATCAATTGAACTGAAACGTTCGCCGAAGAACTACAAACATGTTCAATTTTACGATTAAAAAATACGAACTTTTTTGAAGCACCTGCCGGAAAGTGAGACACTAGGTAAAATTTGTTCCAAATAATAGCAGTACTAACAATTTGCATTTCAGCTCAATTTTGAGATTTTAAATTTTACATTCCTCAAAATTCTAACAATCCCCACCTAATTAACAAATGTACATAATAGTTAAAAATGTTTAATGTTAATGCTATTATTTTGAACAATTTTACCTGGTGTCTCACTTTCCGACAGGTGCTTCGAAAAATATTGTAATTTGTAGTCGTAAAATTGAACATATTCGTAGTTCTGTGGCGAACGTTTCAACTCAGTTGATCATAAGTTAACAAAGTTACATCATGTCAAAGTTGACCATTTTGTATGGAAATCAGCCTGCGCTGCTATTATATTGAACACAACTGTATGTCAAATGGCCATTACACCAAACGGCACTACGTCAAATGGGGTAGAGCCGTCATCTGACCGTTTTTAATCTGAACACTTTTTTATTTGAGTCCCCCTAATCTGCACGCCGTGCAAACTAAAACTGGCTCGTACGACATTTAGCTCATGGGGTGGAGTAAAGTGAAATGGAACATTGTGAAACAGAACGCAGAAACAAAGCATAACATCAAATAAGGCTACAGTAACCCCTCCGTATCGTCCATCCTTCACTGTTCCTCGGCTGCCCTTGCGCTGATTTTTGGAATGTGATTAGAGTCAATCATAAACTAGATATCTACAGAAAATCAGCTCAAATTATTGAAGGACAACCGAAAAATAACTGTAGGTAAACGGTACCACCCACCGCATATATGGAGTGGTTACTGTACCAGAAACCCGTCTTTATGATGCTCTAGGGTTACTTGAAGTTTAAATTAAAAATGAATCCCGTTAATATAAATGAAGCCGGCGTCCACGGTTTTCTCCTAAAAATCTATATTTGGAATTCCCTCGAATTCTACTCAGAATTTTCTTGGAGTTATCTCGTAAATTCCATGAAATGCTCTTCAAAATTCCCTACCAACTATTAATTGAGTTCTCGTAAAATGATTACAGAAAAAACTCTCCTAAGTATTCCTTTGAAATTAATCTCAAAACATTGAAATTTTCCTTAGAATTCTTTTGGAATACTCATTAGAACACCTTTGGAATTATTCTCCGAATTTTAATTAAATTCTTTTCAAAATACCCTTTGGGTTGGAATTCTACTCACAAGAACCTTGAAGCTCTCCTTAGAAATCCTTTAGAATTCTTCTCAAAATTCAGTCAGAACTCCATTGGAAGTCTCTTCAGAATTATCTTGGCATCCTCCTCAGTATGCTGTTGGAATTTTCCTTTGAACGAAATTTACTCAGGATTCTCTTGAGATTCTAGTCACAGCTACTTTGGAACCCTCCCTACGTTTTAATTCCTGGATTCTGGAGTTCCACAAAACTCATTTGAAAGGAATTATCTGATTTCACTTAAGGTTGCCTTAATAATTATCCTCTGAATTTTCATGAAATTATCCCTAAGAGTTTCTTGGAAGCAGGCATGGAAAATTATTTACATTCATTTACATTCATTTGCCTCTAACTTTTTTCATCAACGATTTTAAGTTTTAGGGGAAATGAATGTAATGTCGGCCTAAATGCCCCTAATTTGGGCCCAAACATAAATTCAGCAATCGACTAAGTTTTCAATAGCGGTCAAAATCATCCATCAGTACCGTCTCAATGACGCGTTCATCTAGATAAAATTGATAAATAGCAGATTTTTAGCGATGGTCCCAATCTTCGATCCATACACACTAAGATTTTTTTACAGGAGTCAGTATTTTTTTTACTGGGTTTTTGAATTGCTGAAAAAGTCGGTAAAAATTCAAATGACCGTTATCCGTAAGGAATTAATAAAATCGACTAATTTTATTTTATATCATTAAATGGGGATAACAGAACTAAGTATGTACAAGTTCAGAACAAATATTCTCATTAATAAATTTTCCACAGATTTTTAAACTTTTACCGAACAGTTCCGCAATTCAAAAACTCGGTAAAACCGTACTGACTCGATTATGTAGGCAAACATTAGAGCCATTTCCCTTATTTAATGTTTTTATTTTAAATAAAAAAAAAATAGCGAAATTTTTTAAAGAGTGATTTTTTTTTTCAAATAGTTCCAGATGTTCCCTACAACATTATCCAATGTACTAAACTGATTGGGCAAACATTTTTCGAGTAACAGTTTTTCTATATGCCGTTATCAAAATTAAAGATCGATTTAAAATGGTGATCTGAAGATGCAATATGGCATTTTAGTCATGAGATTCTGAAAATTTTCATAACACAGTTCCAATGTGAAGTCGCTAGGGTGCGTACCGGATAGGAGTGTCCACTGGACTGTCCGTGGCATCGATAATTGGTAGAAGTTTATTCATGACTTCTGAAATTAAAGCATTGATTTTTTTTTTTTTTTGAAAGCCCATTGCTCAGCAATTTATTGATTAATATTAAATCTATTGCACCGAATAAATCGTTAAAGTATAAAATTTCAAATAGCGCCAATAGATTTGAAATTTGTTTATAAATGGCTGAGCTATGATTTTACAAACATTGCAAGTTTGCCGTTACACATTTTACCGAAGGCATCGTGTTCCTCTTAACGAAATCCATGCGTCCTCTTAAAAAGATCCATACCTGGAGTTGACCCAATTGATCCAGAATTCCATAAGGATGAGTCGTAAGGCCCTAGATATAGCCCGTAACCATAGGGTCTTTATATTTAGCCAGAAAGCCCTTCAAAGTTAACGCATACGTCAGCCCATAAGGTGACTCCTAGGGCAACTGAGGTTAACCCATAAGTCCTCCGGAGTCGACCCTTCATGTCACTGAAGATAATTCAGTTGACTGCTGTAGTTATCCCGTACGACCATCGAAGTTCAGGGTTAGGAAGCTAATGTTAACCCATAATAGCCAGCAACTCAGGGCAAAGGGATTTGAGCCTAGAGACATGTTATTTGGAGTTGAAACCTTATCTACACACTTAGAAATGATTATTTTTACACGAGACGTAATTCAGCTTTGACGTAAATCATGGAACGTAAACAAATGTGGCATGTAAAATTAAGTGTCTTGAAACTGAAACATATGCAACTCGACGAAAAGTGTATTTGATTGAAATCTAGATAAACATCTCAAAAGGTTCTATCTGATATGATCGTTTCTTTTCATTGACTTTCTCTTTTGATAACCACGGCTATACAAACAGATTTCGTGCTATTTTTGCCACTTAGTTTGATAAAGAAGATTCTTATTGAGTACCCAAAACGTCAAACACAACAGGGTATGTTTTTGCAGCTGAGTTATTAATGAAAGAGAAAGTCGATGAAGAGAAACGATCAATGCAGATAGGACCTCTTGAAATGTTCATCTAGAAATGATTTTCTCGTCCTTTTCAATTGACTCTTATGTCAAAAGCGCCGCTTGCATGTGTCGGTCTCAGGGCACTGAAATTTACATGTCTTTTTCGTAGTGTGTAGGCTTAGGCTGTAAGGTCTTCGGAAATGACTCGTAAGGTCTATAAGGGCCTGTTCATAAACTACGTAGACAGTTTTTTGGGATTCTTGACCCCCCCCCCTCCCCCTGCGTAGACAATTGTCCATACAAGATTTTTTAAATTTGTATGGGCCCTGGATAGTTGTCAACCCCCCCCCCCCTAAACTGTCTACGTAGTTTATGAACAGCCCCTAAACTTTCGTCCCAACAGGCCTGCCTCCGCAGTCTGATCTGCAAAGTTAACCCGAAAGACCTCTGGAGTTTATTCATAAGATCTTTAAACTTTTCCCATAAGGTCTATAAGGTTAAACATTAATGGTCCTTGATGAAGCTTTAAAAGCTATGAAATTAACCTATATACTTTCTGAAGTAGACCAAATAAAGACCTGGAGTTGATGCTTAGTGCCAGTAAGGTTGATTCATACGTCCTCTGTATTTAACTAATAAGGTTTCCAGGCAACTTATAAGACAGAGTCAAGAGGTAGAAGTCAAAACATAACAATTGGCCCATTATTTGGATATTTGGAGTCGATAAGATCACTAGACATAGTCTACACCCGAGCAAAGCTGGAGATCAAATTGAAATTAAAATTTGCTGTTATGATGTAACTTATTTTGAATACTCCCATTGATCTCATTTTTTTACTTAACGGTTAACATAGCAAAAATGAGAGCAACATTTTACACTGTTGAATCAAACGGAAAACTAATCCTGCTATCAATGAAATCAGTTTGATTACTGATTTTGCATTCATAGTATTTAGCTGAATACGGGCCTGACGTAAATGGTTAGTATCCGTGCTTCTTACGTTGAAAAACTTGAGTTCAAATCCCACCCGGACCAGTCAAGAATGTCCTAAAATGGGTTGAACAAAACAATTAGACAATAATCGTTAGTTCAATTTTCAACAAGACGTTAACAGCACAGCTTGAAGTTAAGTTGCTGAAACACCTGAAAGAAATTTAAAGCACAATATGTAATCAGACTTATTTCGCGACAGTCAAAATCAAAATTGATTTGCTTTCATTTTGTTAACCGACTTTGCTCGGGCAAGGTCTCTGGCGTTGGAGAGCGTCTACGATCCATACAAATTAAAAAAATATATATATGGCAGACTGTCTACGCAAGAGGCAGCCCCTTGATATGTTATCTTCTTAAAATAAATAAGAAAAAAACCTTGCGAAATCCTTGGAGTGAATCATTTAACTCTGAAACACTTTGAAGACACTGTCGCTGTCGATGTTTATAAGCATGCAAATATAAAAGTGCTTCCAGAAATTCCAAATGCATTCCAACGTTCTTTCCAAAGGTTCTCTCCGCAACATCCCCGTCCCCGAGACAACTCACCTGGCGTCGGCGTCAGGTGCCCCGTCGACGAAGGCCTCGAATGTATCAGATGTGAATGGTTCAAACTGCTACCGAGCGTCACGGACGAATTACTGTGACCCACCGAGGCTGCCATCGACGTCACCGTGAGCTGATTGTTGTTGTTCTGGCCGCCATTTCCTCCGCCGTTATTTCCCCCGGGGCCACCTCCGCCACTGAGATTACTGTGATGGTGGTGGTGGGACGACGTTTGGTGTTCCCGCGGTGGCGAAATCGGTTCGGCCTTGATCTTCACCGACAGCGGCGAAGTCGACGGCGGGGGTGTACTATTCGGTACGGTCAGGTGAGGCAGACCGCTGCTGAAAAATATTCTGAGTAAGTGTGAGCAATTTTAATTTTGACACCAACTACCGAAAGAAATAAAAAAGAATATATAGAGAAAGAGAATAATGCAGGCATGTGGCGGAAGGATGGATGATGGGTAAGGGTTGGGTTAGGGTTCCAGCAGAAGTTAGAAAGCGGCCAAAAGCGTTCTACTGCGTTCTATCTACCTCGAGTGCTGTCCGAGTGAGTTCATGGCATTCTGCGCCGCGTGGGCATTGCTGGCTGCCGCACCCCACGATGCAATCATGCTCAGGTCGGAATTGATCGAGAAGTCCTGCGCCCCGAACGAACCGAGCGTGGTCGTGTAGTTCGATAGACCCGGAATGGGCGTCTGTAGAGCTACGACCGGGGTGTTCAGATTGGACGCCTGCTGCCGTGAGTGTTGCTACAAAGGAAAGATAACAGGGAGTTGATTATCGGGATTCCGGTCGTTGTTCGGAGTGGAAAGCTCGTTACCTCGTACGAAAGATCGTCGGTGTTGATGGTTGGGTTCATGGGCGTCGGTATCACCACCCGGAGGTTGGATGACCTCGCGTTCGCACTTCCCGGGGAACCTTGTTTGATCGCTTGATGTTGCACTAGAGTTGGGAAAATGAAAGGGAAAGAAGCTGCAATTTGCGGTTTCACTGGTCTTATTAAAATTGAATCTGCTGTGCTTTGTAAGTGGTGAGTTGACAACGTTTAAAATTCTGACGTGAAACCAAACTTGCAACAATAAAGTCAGTTAGTATAATGTTAATGAAAATCAAGAAATTCGTGGGTCTCCCTTGGGTCAGTCGATAAAGGGCATCTATAAAGCAAGACCATGCTGGGGCCGGCTTGGTTCGATTCCCGGTCCGGTCCGGTGATTGTGCCACATTTGACCTAATGCCGTTTGGCATAAGGCTGTTTGACCTAAAGTCGTTTGGCATAATGGTCATATTGCATAATATGTTAACATATTAACACACATATTCACTCTAAAAATCAAGAACAGTAAAACTCGAAAGAACTGCTCAAGTTTAAAAGAAGAAAATATCTTCACTGTTTTTTTTAATTAAATTTTTTGTACATTATGCCAAAGGGCATTATGCCTACCGACTTTATGATAAATGACCTACACCCATTTTTATCATCCCTTGAAATTTATTTTTTGGAAAAGATTTTAAGGAGTTCTGATAAGAATTCTAACATAATTCTGAGATGAAGCCTTAAGGAATTCCTTAAGTGTTCGGAAAATCATTCTCAAATCTACTTCACTAGGGAGACTCAATGAGAATAAATTCGCCTGTGAATGTCATTGCCACCCAAATGTCATTGATAAAAAATAAAAGTAATAATAATGAATAACATCAAAATGTAAAGTAACAATTTTTTTAAACGTGTATTTGAACGTGTAAACAATGCCATTCAATTGACTTGATCAACTCACTTGAATTGAAAAAAAGTTGAATCAGGCTCAACTTTTCAAACCAATTGAATTCAACTGAGTTGATCATTTCAGTGCTAACATTTGAAAACGGCGCAAAAGCCATTTGTAAACAAATGGTTTGTGGGCCCTTTACTCGCTACCCGAAGAACGCCCACGCAAACCAACAGCATCGTCAGGAAGGGGAAAATTTCCCCTACCCGATGTTGCTGTTGTGTCGCGTGGGTGTACTTCAAGTAGTGAGTAAAGGGCCCACAAACCATTTGTTTACAAATGGCTTTTGTGCCGTTTTCAAATGTTAGCACTGATTTGACTTGCCTAGTCTAAACCCAGCTTAAAGGACGAGACAATGAAAAAGCCAACATAAACATTCAGTCATCCACGAACAGGTGACTCACACCGCTTGCCTTCGTTCACACAGCTTATAATTAAGGCATTTTTCTATAGAAAATGTACGCTCAGTCATTCAAAACAAGGATTGGGTACCATCACGGGAGAATAAACGTGCTGACTGAGTGCTCTGCTGTCAGTGACTTGTTTACTTCCCAATCATTCAAACTCTCACGAGGACGTGAATGAATGATGAGGTCGATGGCTGTTCATATTCATATGAAAATCGCTCATTGAACCTGATTGTTTTGCGCTTTAAGCCTGAGAATAATTTTAAAAAATAGAAAAAAATTAAAAAGAAATTCATGGAAAATTTCCAAGACAATTCTAAGGGATTTCTGAAGATAATTTTGATGGTTTTCTTAGGTGAGTTTGACTATAGTTCAAAGAAAATATTGAGAAAAATTTCAAAGGGATCGAATACTAAAGGAAATGCCAAAGCTATTTCTAATGTTGCCGATCATAGTTCTCCCGGTTTCATATTAATATCTACATATGGTACCAGCCGTAAAAAAAGCATTGCAACGGAAAATCAGCAACAGAGGAATACGAACCGAGACCAACGGCAACGACCCCAGCGACGAAATAGGACTTGCGATTTTAAACTCGGCACGTGGAACTGTCGATCTCTCAATTTCATCGGGAGCACCCAAATACTCGCCAATCTACTGAAGGACCGCGGATTCGGCATCGTAGCGCTGCAGGAGGTGTGTTGGACAGGATCCATGGTGCGAACGTTCAGAGGTAATCTACCAGAGTTGCGGCAACACACGCGAGCTGGGCACAGCTTTCATCGTGATGGGCGAAATGCAGAAGCGCGTGATCGGTTGGTGGCCGATCGACGAAAGAATGTGCAGGTTGAGGATCAAGGGCCGATTCTTCAACTTTAGCATAATCAACGTGCACAGCCCTCACTCCGGAAGCACTGATGATGACAAGGACGCTTTTTACGCGCAGCTCGACCGCGAGTATGATCGCTGCCCAAGCCACGACGTCAAGATCATCATAGGAGACCTAAACGCTCAGGTAGGCCAGGAGGAGGAATTCAGACCGACGATTGGAAAGTTCAGCGCCCACCAGCTGACGAACGGGAACGGCCTACGACTCATCGATTTCGCCGCCTCCAAGAACATGGCCATACGTAGCACCTTCTTCCAACACCACCTCCCTTATCGTTACACCTGGAGATCACCACAGCAGACGGAATCACAAATCGACCACGTTCTGATTGATGGACGGCACTTCTCCGACATTATCGACGTCAGGACCTATCGTGGCGCTAACATCGACTCTGACCACTACCTGGTGATGGTCAAACTGCGCCCAAAACTTTCCGTCATCAACAATGTACGGTACCGACGCCCGCCACGGTACAACCTAGAGCGACTGAAGCAACCGGATGTCGCCTTAGCATACGCGCAGAATCTCGAGGCAGCGTTGCCAGAGGAGGGCGAGCTCGATGTGCCCCCTCTAGAGGACTGCTGGAGTACAGTAAAAGCAGCCATCACCGACGCAGCCGAGAGCACCATCGGGTACGTGGAAAGAAGTCGACGGAATGAATGGTTCGACGAGAAGTGCAGAGCGATTTTGGAGGAGAAGAACGCAGCGTGGGCGGTAATGCTGCAGCATGGAACCCGACAGAACGTGGAACGGTATAAACAGAAGCGGAAACAGCAGACCCGCATCTTTCGGGAGAAAAAACCGCCTGGAAGAAGCGGAGTGCGAGGAAATGGAACTTCTGTGCCGTTCCCAAGAAACACGGAAGTTCTACCAGAAGCTCAACGCATCCCGCAACGGCTTCGTGCCGCGAGCCGAAATGTGCAAGGATAAGGACGGGAGCCTCTTGACGGACGGACGTGAGGTCATTGAAAGGTGGAAGCAGCACTTCGATGCGCACCTGAATGGCGAGGAGAACGTAGGCACGGGAGACCAGCGCAATGGAGGAAACGACTACGTCAGTGCAGCAGAGAACAGAACTGATCCAACCCCCACGCTGAGGGAAGTTAAGGACTCCATTCAGCAGCTCAAAAACAACAAAGCAGCTGGTAAGGATGGTATCGCAGCCGAACTCATCAAGATGGGCCCAGAAAAGTTGGCCACCTGCCTGCACCGGATGATAGTCAGGATCTGGGAAACAGAACAGCTACCGGAGGAGTGGAAGGAGGGGATAATCTGCCCCATTCACAAGAAAGGCGACCATTTGGAATGTGAGAACTTCAGAGCGATCACCATTTTGAATGCCGCCTACAAAGTGCTATCCCAGATCATCTTCCGTCGTCTATCACCTAAAATGACCGAGTTCGTTGGAAGTTATCAAGCCGGCTTCATTGACGGCCGATCGACAACGGACCAGATCTTCACCGTACGGCAAATCCTCCAGAAATGCCGTGAATACCAGGTCCCAACGCATCATTTGTTCATCGACTTTAAGGCGGCATACGACGGTATCGACCGCACAGAGCTATGGAAAATTATGGACGAGAACGGCTTTCCTGGGAAGCTGATCAGACTGATCAAAGCAACGATGGACGGTGTGCAAAACTGCGTAAGGGTTTCGGGTGAATTATCCAGTTCATTCGAATCTCGCCGGGTACTGCGACAAGGTGACGGACTCTCATGCCTACTCTTCAACATTGCTCTAGAAGGTGTAATGCGACGAGCCGGGCTCAACAGCCGGGTACGATTTTCACGAAATCCGGTCAATTTGTGTGCTTTGCGGACGACATGGACATTATCGCAAGAACATTTGGAACGGTGGCAGAACTATACACCCGCTTGAAACACGAAGCAGCAAAGGTCGGACTGGTGGTGAGTGCGTCAAAAACAAAGTACATGCTAGTAGGCGGAACCGAACATGACAGGATTCGTCTAGGAAGTAATGTCACGATAGACGGGGATACTTTCGAGGTAGTGGAGGAATTCGTTTACCTTGGATCCTTAATGACGGCTGACAACAATGTGAGTCGTGAAATACGAAGGCGCATCATCAGTGGAAGTCGTGCCTACTACGGGCTCCAGAAGAAACTACGGTCAAAAAAGATTCACCCCCGCACCAAATGTACCATGTACAGAACGCTAATAAGACATGGGCTATGCTCGAGGAGGACCTGCAAGCACTCGGAGTTTTCGAGCGACGTGTGCTAAGGACGATCTTCGGCGGTGTGCAGAAGAACGGTGAGTGGCGGCGAAGAATGAACCACGAGCTTGCTGCACTCTACGGCGAACCCAGCATCCAGAAGGTGGCCAAAGCCGGAAGGATGCGGTGGGCAGGGCATGTTGCAAGAATGCCGGACAACAACCCTGCAAAGTTGGTGTTCGCTACTGATCCGGTTGGCACAAGAAGGCGTGGAGCGCAGAGAGCACGAAGGGCGGACCAGGTAGAGCGTGATCTAGCGAGCATTGGGCATGACCGAGGATGGAGAGCGGCAGCCGCAAACCGAGTATTGTGGCGTACTATTGTTGATTATGTCTTATCTTAAATGTGATGTTGTACAAATAAATGTATGTATGGTGAAAAGGAATACTCCAAAAGGCTTTAAGATTGCATCAAATTGCCAAATTGTGTTCAATAATTCAAATAAATTAGTAAACATAAGACAGATCCGAGTGGATCTCTGCATCGAATGATAAATTGAACTAGGAAATTTATTAAGAAAACCATGGAACGACATTGGAATCTCGGACTGAAAAGTTTGTCGAAGATTACATGAGAAAATTTCGAGATTTTGAGACTAGCTCAGTTTTTCACATTTTTGAATCTTTCGATAATTGGTTAAGATCTCAGATTAAAAAAAAAAATAATCGCTTGGG